ACATATGAGCTAATGTTTGACTTGTGGGCTTGGGCAGCACTGGGTTGGGATGTTTTCTTGATGTGCACTTACCCTTTATATAAAACTCTCTCTTATACACGAGTTTCTGTGGATTTGTTTCTCTAAAGTACCCAGACTAACACACATCCCAACCTCTAGAAAGAACAACAAGCCCCCAACTCACACCTGTTGCCTTCATGCGATTCCAACGCAAAGCGGCCATATAAGAATAAAGGACAAGTCTCGTAGACTGCCCAAGGCTGGCTGTCCCATCTTCTCCTGGAAGTGGCTGGTGGGTCCAATGTGCCAAGCTTGCTGTTGGCAGCCTAGTCTTTAGCCTCTGCACCACCACAGTTCTGCTCCTGGAATGACCCCCAACGCAGCTCTGTGAATGTCCTGTGGGGACATTCAGAAGCTGCCACACTGCCCTTGCCCCTGTGTAACGCATCTCTGGTCTTCAACATCTCACACTACCCTAGCAGGGCCCCGGGCCAAAGTGCTGGGAACACACTTCTCAGAGGCCTCTACAACTCCTCCTGACCTCAGCTACTCAACCCTGACTTTCAGTCATGGATAAGCAACGGGCGGGGAGACCTAACGCTTCTGTCAGCTGAGATCCCACCCCCTGCTGGCCTTTCATACCCAGCCTGCATCGTCACTTCACACACACCCAGCCCCCGTGGGACCTCACAAGCTTTGAGACTGTGAACTGCTCCTGTAGGCTGATGCCCCCATGGAGGGAAGCTCGCTCAAGCTTCTGATGGACAACCTGCTTGTGGTCTGTGGTGCCTTCCACCATGCACTCCAGCCGCCACCAAACCTACCCTTTCTTCTTTGCACTCTCTCTGGGAGCCTTCACTTCCTCAATCCCTTAAACCTAGTGCAGCTGCCAACTTGCGGATGCCTCCCGCTTCTAAAGTCTCTCACAAGCCTTTCCACCCTGCCTGGGTCAGCTCAAGGAGCCACGCCGGCCACAAAGCAAGGGTTTCACGCACAACCTTCCGCTTGCCTGGTAAGGTCCCTGTTTTACTCCTTAGTCTATATGTAAAGGCCTGGGTCTGAATTAACAGGGTGTAGAAAGCCCTTTGGCTAATTTCCTGTCCTACTTTCTCCTTGTACATCGACACAAATACATACTCAGACATACCCAGGTACGGACACACATAGACACAAACAGACAAATCCGCACACAGATGCACACATACGCATATGTAGTCATACAAACACACAGGCTTGTTAGGTAACAGGAATGAACTTTCATACGTTATTTGTCTTAAATCATGCCCATTAGCATGTTCTGAAACCAGGCTGTAGAAAAACTCCTCTGAATTTTGGGAAGAGATCATTTAATGGATACATTATTTCCATTTTCGATTGCACCAAAGCCCTGATTGAACTATTATGCCCCTTATTGGCCTAGTCAATTTCCCATCTTAACTGGTTGGGCATCTTAACCCACAGTCACCGATTGGCCACCCTGCCCCTTAAAGTACTCACTTGTTCCTGGCCCACATTTTTGTTTCAGGCATAGAGCCAATTTGAGTGAAAATTTATCCCTGGGGAGATCGGCGTCTAAGCCAGCATTGGACCAGAGAGGGTACGCAGGGTTCACCGAACATGCCAGCTCTGATTTTAATCAGCAACAAAACGCAGACCAAACTCACGGCCATCGAGTTGATGCTGACTCATAGTGACTGTTGGAGACTGTAACTCGTCACCAGAGGAGAAAGCCCGGTCTTTCTCCCTCGGAGGAGGGGGTGGTTTCTAACTTCTGACCTTATGGTTCGCAGCCCGAAGCATAACCCAATAGCCCCAGCGCTCACTTTGATCCGTGGAGGTGCCTGCCACACTGTGTGGGGAAGGATTCAGAGTCTGTGCCTGCACTGAGCAGAAAAGAAGACAGGAGGATGAGTGATCGTATGAGGGCCATGGGATAGGGCTGCGGGCCAGGCACAAAGGTCAGAAGTTTGCTTCCCCTGACATCAGGCCATCTTCAAAGTCTGTTATGGATTGAATAATGCCTCCCTCCCCGACGATGTATTGAAATTGTCTCCCTCTACCTATGGTTAGGTGCTCTGGCAGAACAGTGCGCTCAACTTTATGGACTGTTAACCATTACCCACTGGCAGCACCTCTGTGATAGAGAGCTGAGTCAGTCTGCTTCCGTACAGATTGCCGGAGTCGCAGACGCCCTGTGTGTGGAGCCGTTCTCCTCTGTGCCGCAGTGTCCCTATAAGTCAGAATCAGCTGAGGAGAGCGGATTGTGAGTCTGCTCGGAAATGTAAATTATGTTCTACCCCAGTAGGGTGGGTTCTAATTCTGATCACTTCTGAGTTTACCAAAATCCTAGTGCGCGTGCGCACACACACACACACACACTCAAAGCTTGTGGCAAGAAAAAAATCTAGACGGCCAAGACCCTGCTTTGGATTTGGAGTGTGCAGTACTGTGAGAAAACAACCTTCTGTTCCTTGAAGCCATTCGCAGGTTTTATGTTGCTAAGTTACAGGTAGCGGAGGCACAGGCCAGTCTCTGGGAAGGGGATTCTGTAGGCAGGGTGCCAAGTTCCTGTCTGGAGGAGAGAGTAACCTACAACATGAGGTAGACCCAGTCACTGGGCATCCCCACGAAATTCAGCACACAGACCCACATTCGATCGGGACACACAGGGGCACATGCGCACACACAGATGCATGGACATTCAAACACAGAGAACCATGCATGCAGAAAGCATGGAAGGTGCATGCATGGGCCTGAGGCTCAGCAGGCCAGCCCAGAGAACAAAGGCAGGACACAGGATATGTGTGCACGTGTACATGTACATTTGAGGTGTGGGGGAATTCGCCTATTTTGGGGAACGCTATGCAGAGAGGGTGCCTATGGAAGTCCTGGCGGTGTGTTAGTGACTGCTCCTGTCCCGGTGGAGAGGAGCAGAGCACTCGCTAGAGGGCTGCTGTGAGGCCCAGGGATCAAGCAGACGAGAGTCTGGTACATGGGAGGTCTCAGGGCATGTAACAACACCCCCTCCTGCCTTCACAGACTGAGAGAAACCTGTGCCTCATTTGCACCCCCAGCTCTTCAGCCCCTGCTTCACATAGAGCCCTCTCCCAGATCCCACATGCCAGGGAGGCCGCAGGTAAGGTCTGGCGGGACAGTCGCTCCTGCTTACCTCATTCAAGCTGGAGATGAGCCCCGAGGAAGAACTGGAGAGGCCGAAGCGCTTCTCGATAGTGGTGAGGCTGCTCTTGAAGTAGGCGCTGTACAGGAGCTGGCAGAGTTGCAGCAGGCCATGGCAGAGCACAAACACCTGTGGTCACAGAGGCAGTCCTGTGAGGCTGCGGGTCAGCAAGCCCCACCTCCCTCCGGGCCGTCCATTGCAAGACCCCAGACACAGGGGCCTCTCAGCCTGGTGTGCATCTTCCCCTACCACCTCCTGGTCCTTGCTTCCCTGCATCTCAGCCTCCCTGGCCACCCCTTCCTCACCTGCTCCGTAGATAACATCCACTCTACTGGGTGACCCGGAGAGACACCACTATTTGTTTTTAATTATTTTATTGGGGGTTCACTCAGCTCTTATCACAATCCATCCATCCATCCATTACGTCAAGCACATTTGTACATATGTTGCCTTCATCATTTTCAAAACATTTTCTTTCTACTTGAGCCCTTGGTATCAGCTCCTTTTTGTTCCCCTCCCTCCCTCAAGAACCCTTGGTAACTTATAAATTATTATTATTTCATGTCTTGCTTAAGCGCTTGGCTGCTAATTGAAAGGATGTCTGTTGGCACTTTTCCAGGGGCTCTGCAGCAGAAAGGCCTGGTGATTCGCTTGGGTAAAGAGTACGGGCAGGAGAACCCTATGGGCCAGTTTCACACTTACATGGGGTCACTGTGAATTGGAATCAACTCAATGGCACCCAACATCACATCAAAACTAAGACAAGGATTGGAGAATTGCTGCTCAAAGAAAGACTAGAATTAGCAGCCCTGCATTCACCACCTTGGGTTTTTCCGCCAGTGAGCTCCTGGTCTGCTTACTGGGCTTGTCTTCCTTCCTGTGCCCTGTGAGCACTGAACACCACTCTCCATCCACTCGCGTCATCCCAGGCCCACCTAGAAGCCCCAAATTGCATGGTGCCCCTGCCTCCCTGAGTGCCTCTATTCCACAATACCCCTCTGCCAAGATGCATTCCATCGCCTGGAATGAGGCCCTGGGATGCTGACCTTTGTATTAGATCTTAAATTCTAAACATCCCATTTGCAAAGGGTAGGGACAGCCCCAAATCCATTCCCACCGAGATTGAGCCTTGATTGAGTTCTTTCTGATCATTAACCAAGGATGTAGATAATCATGACCATAGGTAGAATGCCTTAGAAAGTGGATGCCCCACCCCACCCCCACCGCCCCCCAGCCAGCACAGGGAGGGGCCTTCTCTTAGGGACTTGCCTGGGTGTATCTTTGATGCATGTGACCCTAGCACAAGGGGTCGAAGAGTCATGAGTCATATCCTTTCTGCCTCAGCCTGACTTCCTTGGTCAGAGGACCCTGGACCAATCTTGTAAGCCCTTCTATCTAACAATGTATATACACCAACCACGGTCCTGATCTGGCTTTGTATCACAACAAACCCTCGGACACCATGTTAACTGCGTGCTCGTGGCCTTCCTTGTGTGTTCTCTTTGTGCTGGCTTGGTCCGATGAAGACTTCATACTTACTTTCTGTAAATTATAGTTGAGATTGGGAGTCTCTTTGGTTAGAGTGAATGCTCCTCCCCACACCCCCATTTGTTATGGCCTCTTATCAGGGCCATCGTGGCCTACAGACAGAGGTACCTGTGGGCGCTTGTTTCACCCCTGGGTACAGGGCAACAGCCTCAGGGAAGGGGTTGAGGCCTTTTGTCTCCAAATGCCACCTCTCCGCCCCAGCTCTGTTGATGCTTGTCCTTGTGAATCCACAGTTGGCGGAGACAGATACACAATGGGGAGGAAAGGAGAAAGGCTTGATGACCTGCGGCAGGTAGGCTGGGGCCAAGAGTCCCACTTTCCCAAAAGTCCCCTGGAAGGTGCTCTTTCTGGAGACCGCACTGTTCCTCCAGGGGAGGGTGGGCACCGTTCCATTTCGTAGTCTGCCGACATGCTTCCCTTAAGTGAAGAACTGGCATCTCCGCAGGGCAGCTGGGGCTCCACCTCCAATTTCCTTTCCTTCCAAAGGTGAACCTCCCCAATTCACAGAGGCTAGAGCGGGTGAAGCCATGAAGCCAGCCATTTGAAGGCAAAAGGTGGCTCTCCCTCCCCGAACCCTGCGAGAGGTCCTGCTTGGCATCGTTGTGCATACTGGAATCAGTCTTAATATTCTGTTTGGACCAAAGGCTTCTACTGATAAAGATATTTTGACAATGGTTGAGGCCCTCTCTCTTTTCACAAATGGGGAAACTGAGGTCAGAGGAGGGCAAGCAGAGTGACTGGCATAGTGCCCTGCAGTTGCAGGCATTACGGGGCTGAGGTGCCAACTGTGTGAGTAGTTCTGGGCCTGCCTTTCACCCAACTGTGCAGCCCTGGCATACTTCCACCCTTCTCAGGCCCATGTCTTCTCCTGCCGTGAGGGCAGGGGAGTTCACCTACAAGTCCTTAACTCCACTTGATTCAAAGTCACCTCGCCAGGGTTGGGGCCAGAGAGGGTCTTCAAAGCATAGCCAACCCCAATCCAAGCCTGCTGAATCAAAACCAGTGGGGGTCTATTTTTCAAAAGCTTCTCCAGCAGAATCTGACGGACAACTCTGGTTGAAAACCACTCGGGCAAGAAGAAACCCCTAGCTCTCACCATCTGTGTGCAGAGAGAGGGTCATTGTGAAGATAAGGGAAAAGCAGCAACACAGTAAATGTCGTCGATGCTGGAGTGTTGGCTGGGGCTCAGGGCGACCTTATCTGTAACAGCATGTTACCTGGTCCAGTGCCATCTTCCCTGATCTGCAGGCAGTTCCACTGGGAGGCCTAAGGGAACCTAAGAGGCACGGAACTAGGCTACTGGGAAAGAAGCACACGATGGATGTGCAGTTCAAGATCCATGAAGGTCAACCATGATAGGGGGACAAGAGGGAAGTAAAAGGAAATAGAGAAAAGATCTAGGCGGCAAAGGACATTTATAGAGGTCTAAATACAGGCATGTACATATGTAAATATATTTATATATAATGATAGGGAAACAGCTCTATGTAGATATATTTATATGTTAAGTATTAAGGTAGCAGACAGACATTGGGCCACTACTCAAGTACTCCCTCAATGCAAGAACACTTTGTTCTAATAATCCCTAAAGCAGTGATTCTCAACCTTCCTAATGCCGTGACCCTTTAATACAGTTCCTCGTGTTGTGGTGACCCCCCCCAATCAGGAAATTATTTTTGTTGCTACTTCATAACTGTCATTTTGCTACTGTTAGGAATCGGGTGAGCCCTGTGAAAGGGTCGTTCAACCCCAAAGGGGTGGCGACCCACAGGTTGAGAACTGCCACTCTAGGGTATTACATCCAAGTCCAGCCTACTGGTGGACATGTTTACCAGACACTCAGAACAACCGCCCCGACCCCCCCCCCCCAATTAATAACTTCCCAAGGGAAAGTTACTGTCTTTCCCTCTTCTTTTCCCTTCATCACCCATCACCTTCACTCATTTCCCCCGAACAGAAGGCAGAGATACTTCTAGTTGTCCCTGTTCTCACACCTGCCCCACCACTCATTCACCTGCGAAGCCCTGTGACTTCTTCTTGTGTCTCTAGAACTTGGCCCAGCCTTCCATCTCCAAGCATTTGACTTGGCTCCAGGCCATACGACCTCTCCTCTGGAGTACTCTATTAGCTTCTCTTTGGTCCCCTGTCTGCACCTTCAAATCTCCCACCACATTGTGTTAGGTAGCTAGATTTAGGGACAGGGGTTTTGTCCCTCCCATGCCTGCAAAAGCCCCCACAGAGGAGGTTGGAAAGAAAGTAGGCAACTGTTGAGCACCTATGGAAAAGATCCAAACTGAGCATGCACACACACGAGAACCCCTGGGCCCAGGTAAAACCAATCAATACCTTGGGCACACCCACCTTAGGTACCACGAATGACATCACTTAGCCAATGACGTCAACCTATACCTTCAACCATGCATCTCCCAGCCAGGGGGCGGGATAGAATCAGGCAGGAAGCACAGCCCTGCACTCCCTCTTGGCACCCCCTCTTGGCCTGCCACCAGTCTCTTTTTGCTCTGCCCTGTCTCAGGGGCATGATGTAAGGAGGGCTTTTAGTGTGCAGGGCATGCACCTGCCTGTGTGTCCCCTCAGGGCACGCTCCAGGCCTATCGGGGCTCACAAGTGCTCGGCCTCTGGGACTCTGGGGATTCCCCTGTTCCACAGGTGTGGATGTTCTTTTCCACATGGCTTTTCATGCCCAGTGTGAACCCCAGTACGGCTTCCATGTGGCTTGGCGTGCTTTCCAGAAATAGTGTGGTCCCTCTTGAGCCTATAAAACCGGAAACATTTCCGTTCCTTCATAAAAACTCACTTGGATTGCAAAACGTGCTTCGGCGTGAATTCTTTCAGTATGCAAAGCAAAGACCTGAGGTATTACCCACTCCAGAAACCTAACAATTGCCCCTAAGTTTCTCAAAGGAGACGTGAGCACTCTCCCTGGACCCTTCTGATAAGATGAAATGAATGCTCGCAGCCTGGTATCCAGCATGCTCTGGGACCTTGCCTGCTGACATGGCTCCATACCCTGTGGTCGTTGCAGAGTGAGCTACATCCATGTCTCTGATCCCACATAGTCCTCTGACAACGTGACACCGACACGCCTTCATCAAGACGTGGCATCTGTGCTTCTTCGCCTTGAAAGTGAATGGATCCTCGCGACTTCGAATGAAGAGAAGAAGCAAGAGTGACTTTCAAGCCCAGGTCCTAAAACGAACACAGGATCTACCTGGCTCTGTCTCTCAGGACGCTTGCCCTTGGCATTGTGTCGTTAGGAAGTTCTGTCTTCCCTACTCATCAAAACCCACAGGTAGGGATTCCACTCCACTCTAGCTAACGCATCCACCTCCCGCCATTCCAGTGAGTGAAACTTCTTCAGAGGATTCCAACCCTGATGATGACAAGTGGAATGAAAATGAACTATTTCCAGCAACCTTTGTACAAATGGAAGTTTCAAGAGCCAAATAAATGTTGTCATTTTTTTTAATCACTCATGTTTGAGATGTTTTTCTTTGTAGCATTAGACAGCTGTAAATGACTAATGCCACACACCTGCCCTGAAAGGTGCCACCTGGGTCCTA